AATGTCTCGTAGCTCAAATTTTGTGGCTCAAAAGTGGCTCAAATGGTCAAAACGACGTCGTTTTGACCATTTTTATGTTGTTCTGTACTCAAAACGACGTCGTTTTGACCATTTGAGTCACTTTTGAGCCACAAAATTTGAGCTACGTATCATTGTCGTTATTCTCATGTCTTAGACTTACATCATCTGATCCAAGAAAATAATTTGCCACGCACTGTTTATGTGCTTGTACAGCAACAACCACATTAACCATAGTGGAATATAATATTACACTCTTAAAGGTTGGGTTTTCTCTTGTCCGTGATCAGATTAAAAAGTACTGTTGAACCCTTGGAGGCTTATAATAGGTCCTGTTTTGATAATCCAAAACATTTAATATCTAGAACTTGTTAAGTACTATATGTCTATAAAAAATCACGTTAATCAGATATCGATAGCTATCTATCGGATCAGATTTCTATCAACCGTTTATTATTTTACCATCTATTTTTTTTTATTATAAAAAACTGATTTAATCGCGTAGCTATCGATATCCGATCAATATAATTTTTTATATGCATATAGTACTCGATGAGTTTTACACATTGATGGTTCAGATTATTAAAACGTGACTCATGGTAGACCTCCACTGACTCATTAGTACCCTCCAGTCTGTATCGAATTGAAGGGAAGCAAGCCCCAATCTTAAACTATTGCTATTTTTTTTTTTTTTTCTTTTTTTCCACTCTAGTTTTTGGCCTATCTGTTTTTTTATATGAAGCATGATCGAAATTAATGCTGATTCAATCCATCCATCCCCTTTGTAGATAATATTGAAAAGTTCATTTATGCCATTATACTGCAAAGTGCATTAGCATAAAAAACTAGGTTTAGTGCTAGACTTTGTACTTGTACTAATTAATTAGTTTGCACTTTTATTTTAATCAATCTTATTTTTATTCTTCTTAATTGTATGAGGTATGCATGACGTGGACCAGACCCAACTACATTGATTAAAGGGTGGTCTATCTTCTTAAAAATGGTAATACAATAGACTCATAAAAAAAATTTAGAAAAGTATTTAAAATTTAAAATGTGCAGATCAATTTAATTTAAGTGTGACTGATATTATATCAATAAATTTAAATTTATTGATGTTTGTTTTTTCAAGTACATAACATTTATGCTTTAAAAAATCTAAGACTTTATAATTTCATTTTCTATAGTGGTCCAATGTGAACACTTTTATTAATTAAACAAGGAATATTAACTGAGAATGGGAGATATGCTGCCTAATGTGTTAAAAAGGGAAGGAAACTAAATCTACTGTGATTTATGAATGTCGGGCATAAGGGTCCACTAATGGGTTTCAAAAAAAAATAAAAAATAAAAAATTGGATTGGTTTTTAGTTTGATGAGTCAAATTTAGCATTGTGATCAATATAATTTCTCAGGTTGTTTATTGAATTCATTCCACAAACATGTAACACTACTTTAGCACATGGAATTTAATAGATTGGGAATAATTGGCAACAACTTGAATAATGTGTCATAATTAGTGAAATTCAAGTATTGGGTTTTTCTATAGTCCACATAAATGAATTGAACCGTTCAGCTGGATCTATGGGCTCACCATGGACTTTATTTTAGTAATCTAAGTCGTTCATCTTATTAGGCTTTGTGTGTATTGATCATCTATAAATAAATAAATAAAATCAAATTGATAGCCAAATGATTTATTAAATTCATTTTTAAAAGCATATTTTTGTTTATTTTTTAAAAACAAATATAATAAAATTATGTGACTATAATTATTAAAAATCACTATAGTGAAATTCGTGATACATCTTAAGGGTCCAATTACATGGTGAGCCTCCTTAATGTAAGACATAGCAGAGTGTGACAAAAACATTATACCAATCATTTTTATCGTATTTTATAAAGATGTCGCTGTCATATTATTCTTGCACTAAATTTTATACAAAATTTAAAATTTTTCAATAAATAAATAGAGGCCGCACATATTCGCACAGTAAGTTTAATGCAAAATAATAGTTGTGCCGAGTTCATAACAATCATCACAAAAATAAATCCAAAGAAATAACTTAACCCAACTCAATCCAATAATCATCATAAAAAATCTAATGAATTCAACAATCACATAATACAACCCCACATTAAGAGCTTCACGAAAACGTCGTTGTCGTGATGAATCCACAATTTGCAAATTGAATTGAGAGAACAAATAGAAATCAGATGATCAAATTCACATGAGTTTCTTTTAGTAAAGTGTATGGACCATGGTCTAAATGATGCACGCTTTCAAGCCCTAAAGTGGAGCTGGCGAATTGCACGTGTGCAAGCCCTGTGCTATGTGCGACTTTGCGACAAAGTAGGGCTATATATATAGCTTTGATTAATATGCTACCAAAAACAAATAAAAGGATTTTGGGGATTGGGAAATTGGGGCCATATTGCACTTATTACCCTCCATGTTAAACATCAACTCCATGAATTAATTAAGGAAGGAACCCCTATATATATAGGCAGATGATCAATGAGATAGGTCGGATTTATCTGGTCTGTAATTGTTGTGTCTACATTCCACATATTAGTAGGTTTTTCAGATTTTCACTGGTTAACATATTGGTACGGACCGAATTTATTTCAAAAAATTAATCACTTCTCACTTGTAACTCCGAATCTTATGATCAAAATCAAATTAAACCGAATTACAGATTTTTTATTAGATTTATATTATTAAGTTCTAAATATATATATATATTTTTTAATAATTCATATGATCAAACTAATTAACACTATTAAAACAATCAAATTAAAGTATAAATTCACTAAACTAACAAATTATGACAATGTTATATGTAAAAAGTCAAAAATTAGGAAGATATCAGTGGTCACTGTTAAATTCAATTTTAACAATTGTGTTTTATGTATTTTTTTAAAATATAATTTACAAGGATAATATAGCTTGTCAAATGTTGTTGTTTTTAAATGGAACATTATTGATTTTAATGGATTAAAATTGAATTTAATAGTGTTATTTTTTTTAACAACAATGATTCATCCCCCATTTTCCTCCACCCCCTTTGACCCCCTCTCTCTCTCTCATTGGTTACATTTTCTTTTTCTTTTTCTTTTTTTTCCTACTCCTCCAGCTTATTTAACAAACACTACTCAGCAACTTAAATCTATAATCCAACAGCTATACCAAACAGATTAACCGCTTCTGATTAAAGTCATAATTTATAATCTGTTAAACTATAATCTATAATCTGTTTTAATAGCTGCACCAAACACCACCAAGATGGTTTGAGTGGGGTTGATGGGGGTTGAATTTATCCATGTAGGCTTTGCACGGGCCCAGTTCATGGGCGGGCTTGGGTTTCAAATATTTGTCAAAAATCTTGAACAATCTTCTATGGGATGGGATGGCCTGGGCAGTCAAGGGGGTTTAGATAGGTTATGGAACAGATTGAATGGATTTGGTAATATCGAATTTTTTATCTACGAGCCATTTGATGAGCCTATATATAGGCTTTGTTTTTTGTCCACATCAAAAAAATTGGAAAGGTTTTTTCTTGCAGAAATTAATATAAGAAACAATCCCATAATGGGTAGAAATTATCTAATCTTCTCGAAACAGCACGTGTTTATATTTATGTACCCATCTAATAATATCTAATAATATTTTGTTATTTCCCTTTATAATTTCTATTTTTTTAGGCCTTTGTAAGTACATGGCCTTGCTATACTTGATCCAATGAGTAATATTAACTACTAGTTTCCATAAATTTCTTATATTTAAAAAAGAAATTATGATATTATCATGTGGTATTATAACTCAATAACAAATTATGATATTGTTGGTTTTTTTGGGTTTCAAAGGTTAATAATGTAATTTTAAGCGTATCAACAAGGATCAATGGCCATGTTTGATTCACAACACTAATAGTGAGGTATTAATAATCCTATTAAATTAGTGTGGTATTAGTTATCCCACCCTTACCCCATTACTAATAATCCTACAAATTTGTTGGATTAATTATCCATTGGATTAATAATCCTAAACTAAAATGTCAAAACAAATATAGGATGATTGGGCCCACGGATTAATAATCCCAATCCTATGCTTTAATCCTTCCAATCAAACATGCCAAATAAGTTTTTATAGAAATTTTAATTGTCAACCAATTATTAAACGATTGTGTTAAAGTTCTTTAAGTCTCAATGAAGAGAACTTTTACTGATGGCTTTGCTTAGGAGAAAATTAAAGATATTGATAATGACAATAGATAAAAACAGTTTCATGAACTGAATTTCATTAACTAATAAGAACTTACAATGATACATTCGCACTTTCACAGCCTCAAAGGGTTTCGTAGCAACAGACTACTTGGAACTACTCCTAAGAATTGAAGTGCAGTACAGGAATTGAAGAACATGAAATGTAAAAACTAGAAAGAAAAATATAAAGTAAATAACTGGTTTCTACATTTAAGTCTGGGTCCCTTTCCTGTTGGCCTTCTCTTCTATTTATACCCTCTAATGGTAACCGTCGAAGTGATCTTCTAACTGTCGAAGTGGTCATGGCTTTGAACAGTTTGCTTCCACTACGCCATTCTTGTAATTGGACTTCTCTCCTTAATTTGACTTTGAATTTGAATTGTAAATAACCATTGGGCCACGTCACCTCGCGCCTTCTAACTGGTCCAATACTGCTCAGATCCATTGTTATCAATATAAGCTGTCACGTGTCTGTTGTTAACTGGAGACTTGCATTAACTCCTCAAATTATCTTTTAGGAACTACGTGTTAAACTGCTATTGGCTTGTACAAAATATGTAACCAATGGATATAAACATCATAAACCTCACTATCCAATAACAAATTATGACATTATTAACTTCAAATAAGTATTTACATTGAAAAATAACGGGTAGATTATCTCATATGTATTTTATTATTAGTCATTGAAACTATTTGTCAATAATGATGCGGTATTATACTGAATTTCTTCGACCAATCATTGATGTGGAGTTGTTTGGAGAATTTCTATTCTCACGGCTTCTCTTTGCTATACTCCTCATTGCATATGTCAACGAAAGCTTTGGGTTGAGTCTAGTATTGTTGAACTCTTCACAAACACTTCTGTGAGTGGTTACAGCTTCTTCAATAACTATTGTTGGTTCTTTGATTAGTGTTTCTTTCACAGCTTCTGAACAAAGTCCGCAAACCCATTTATCCGAATGAGAATCCATGATATTTTGTATGTAGTCTGGAGTGCAGTCTTCTTTGAGGCCACAACATTCGCATTCTGCTTGCTCCAGTACTTCTTCAGCTTTAACAATGGCTTCCAACTCATTACCAGTTTTATCTATTTTATGGGAAACATCAGAGACTGCCTTATGAAGCTTGTGTCCATTCTGTTCAGAGCGAGAGCGAGAGCGAGACAGAGACAGAGACAGAGAATTCAATCTACCAAGCTCAATGACTTATAGAAATGAAGTATAATGATGGATAATTACATCCAGTCTGTTAATAAATGTGACAAATTTTTTATTCTAGGTAACCCTTTTTTTAGATTTATACAAAAAAATAAATAACACAAGAATGATATGGTAATATAATTTTTTGAGTAAATTAGGTTAATGGTCCCTATAGTTTATACGATGTGCCAATTTAATTCTTGTTGTTTGTTTCAATTTGTTCGATTTTGTCCATTAATTTAATAAATTGTGTCATTTTAGTTCAATAAATAACGGTGGTTAAGTTTGGTAGACGGAAAGTCTACATAATGTGTCAATTGGTCTTTGCAATTTACACAATGTGTCATTTTAGTCCTTATTATTTTAATTTGCTCAATTTTGAGAGGGACCAAATTGATACATTGTGTAAATTACAAGTACCAAATTGACACATAGTTTGACTTTCCGTCTATCAAACTTAACAACCGTTAATTATTGCACTATAATGACACAATCCGATAAATTAAGGAGCAAAATCGGACAAATTGAAATAACAGGGACCAAATTGACACATCGTGTAAATTATAGGGACTATTTGTATAATTTACCCTAATTTTTTTAATAAACGGTGTCTTTATGGGGTTTTTTTTTTTTTTTTTTATAAAAAAATAATTTTTTTTGAAAAGTCTGCACCAAGTCACATAATTTTGTATGAAAATTTTACGTGTAAATTATAACTTTTTATTTTATTACTTTAAGACAAAATACTTATCAAAGAGAGTTTAAAAAAATATTACTACCATATTATCATGCTAGTTTTAAATTTCAATCAAAATTCTCTAAAGATAATTAATAGCATGCAGAGAGAAGATTAGACTACTGGGATCAACATCTAATAATTAAGCTAAAGGATTCAATTGATGGGCTTCTAAACTTATTCTAGACCCATCTCAATGATTTGAATTATTCATTCAAATTATTCATATCCGCTCACACACAAGAGCTAGAGAGAAAAGACAACCAACTCTTATCAATTAACAACATATATATGGAAGAAGTGATAGTTGAAACGAACATACCATGAGAGGGAAAAGATGGTTTTCTTCATTGAGTGGTTTGCTTATCATCTTCTAACTGAAATAGTGTCCTTTTTGCTTGAAAATAGACTGTGATGTAAAATTGTACAACTATTTATATAGGGTTTGAATAAGTTGTTTAATAAGAAGAATATATGAGGAGGATTCAAAGAGATTGAATTATGACACGAGAAAGATGAGAGAGCCAGTGTCGTTTTCAGGAAACTTCTATTCATGTTAAAATATTTGTATATTTTGCAGAGATAATGGTGGGGGTTTGCTTTTTCGATGACATTAATGACCAAATTGCACAACTTGAAGCCTTCTGTAGCAATTTGCAGCAGATTGTTAGAATATAAAATTAGATTGATAGTTCTTATATTTTGTCTTTTATGTCATTTTTATTTTTATATTTTTAATTAGTTCAAATTTGATCCATAATTTTATATTGTGTCAATTTGATCCAATTGATAATGTCATTAGTGTTTTTTATGAAAAATTATCATTGAATTAGTTAAAATTAACTCAATGATTTAATCAAGTTTATGATTTTGCCTTGGAAAGTATGGCATATATCATTTATGTGCATATTTTTATTAAAAAAATGTTAATAATTGAAGCAATTGGAATAAATTGAAATAAAATCATAAACTTAAGATCAAAATCGAACAAATTGAAATTATGTAGACCAAAATGACAGAAAGACCAAAATACAGGGAGTAACAGTGTAATTTGCCGTATAATCTATATAGGGACGTAATTCGGACGGATATGGGGACGTTGCTGCGCAGCCGGCGCAACAGCGTCTATTGTGCGGCAATTTGAGCCCATTTCGGGATTTATTTTGATAATCTGAACTGTTCACATTTTAGAATACGTCAAGTAGAATATGTCTGCAAAAAATCAAGTTAATCGGATATCGTTTATGCATTCATCAACTCACATTTGTATCTATAAAAATAAATACAAATGTATTTTAGCTTGATTAAAATGAATACAAATGTGTATGGATGAATAGGTAAACAATATCCGATTAACTTAATTTTTTGCAGGCATGTTCCACTTGACGTATTCTAAAATGTGAACGGTTCGAATTATCAAAATGGGCCCAAATCGCCGCACAGCAGGCGCTGTTGCGCGGGCTGTACAGTAGCGTCCCCACTTCCAACTCGGACAAAATCAGGCAGGTTGAGAGGTTATCCAAATCTAGTTCAAATTGTGTTAAGAGTTGTCCAAATCTAACTTATAATTCAAGATTGTTCTGGCCAAGCTTGACCTGAGTTTGATAAGACTTGCCTGAATTACCCATAATTCAAGGGTTTTTTTTCTTAGGTTGTTTAATCTGTTAAAATTAGACTTTATTGATTTTTTTTAGTGAAATCATTAATAATACCAAAATAAATAATTTATATGATGTGAGAGGTGAGAATTAAGGAATTGATGCACCGTTGCTGAGGTCATTGCCATTTTTGAGTGAGAAATATAAGGTAAAATTTTGTGTTGCATTACTTTTTGATTGCATTACTTATGTGTATAATAATATAGTAAATATGATTTAACAAACCAAATTATTTTTGCAGGATCAAAAAGCTAAAAAATTATATGTATATTAAATATTTATGCACATAACTTGGTTTTCAAGTTGTTTCGCATCTCTACCCATATTCGACTTGAATTTATTTTAAAATTTTGAATTTCTCCTTGACTTTGTACAAAATTTAAAAATATTTTATTTAAATCTTACAAAGTTTTGGATTGAACTCTGATTGCTCGTATTGAGCCCATCGAAGCTACACCACTATGAGTACATGTACATGAATATTAGATAAAGGTTGTAATAAACAACTAAAAACTTTAGAAAAGATTGGGATAAGATCAAACTGCGTAGGTCATGAAAAGGGAACCCTAAAAATAAATAAATAAAACAAGTAACAAGTTAACATTAATTGAAAAATACGCATGGCAGCTGGAGGAGGGAGGAAATAAAATGATCCCAATGGGTAAGGATTAGTTTGGCATTGTGGTGAAAAAATTAATTCAACAAACAAGGCCTAAATTATGAAGAATGAGTAGAAAATGATGATATATATTATGTACTTTGGTGGGGGAAAATAAAAAATAAATAAAAATAATTTTGGGGGGGGGGATATGAAAATATGGGAATGGAAAATGGGCCAGGTCGGGGCTTCAAATTTGCAAGATTTCAAATGGACCCCATCTACAAATGTGAAATGGGTCACCTGGGCCGACCCATAGCAAATGGGTACCCTTAACCACGATCCCATTCATTAATGAAGCATGAGTCATTCAATTTTCTTTAACATGGATTGTTGCGAAATATTTGAATAATCATTAAAAGAGATATAATTAAAATTTTAATGAGCTTTTAGGCCAAAGTGTAAATAGGAAATTTTTTTACCATAGTGTGGTATATCATGTGGTAAATCACATGGTGTGGTAAATAGTGAGGGTTTTATCATCTATAAATATAAATAGGTGAGTTTACATCGTAATGATGAGATAGAAAAAAAACTCTTTATTTCTTCTTTTATTGTGGCTCTTTCTTCTTTATTTTCTTTAGTTTTATAACACGTTATCAGCACTAGATCCTGACCAGCTGAGAAACAAAAGTGGAATCACATACAAATAAGGTTTTGCAAACTTGATTGAAAGCTCTATAAGAGCAAATATTATGATTATCAAATGGAATCAAATTTGGTATCGATGAAATATATTCTACCAGATCTAGAAGACATCTATTAAGTTTTAAAGATATATGTCGTATCAGTTATTGAAACCATAAATAAAGGTAAAGAAGAATATCTATATATTACTTCTACTAAAGTTACTTAATATTCATATGAGTTGTATTCTACATCAATAAAAGTAATTGAATCAAATGTTAAGATACACCAGAAGTGCTCCAACTTAATGCATCAAAAGTGTTATAATTCAAAAAGCGGTCATGATAGGGCATGATTACCCTAAGCATTGAAAAATTCAAATAGGACATCCATTGAAAAACCAAAAAATTCTTTTACCAAGAGTTTATCCATCAAGTGATTATCTAAGCTCTGTCTGTTCATTGAGAAAATTAATTATTAGACTGTTCCATTCATATCAATATGGACTATTCGTTATTTAATGATTTTAATAGATATATTAACTAGATAGTCTCATTCGTAACACAACTTTTAATGATGTCAAGCATCCTATTGTCCATGTTCATATTCAAAATGGTATAGTTTAATATTTAATTAAATGGCTTTGGTTGGTCGCTCAACCTTTGCTTATGAAAAATAAATTACTTGTTTCAGCATGGGATTATGCTAAATGTCACGACCCAGACCCGCCCCTATGAGTTTAGCATCGTAACCGGCCAGTAATCCGTGATTACCAAAGGCCTGCTCAACAGTAATGACAGTAATACAGAGTAAAGCTGCTGGCGGAAGCCAAAATAGTAAATAAAAGGTGTCCAATGAGCTGTGACAGTCTGAATGCAAAAAGACTTTTATGAACAAGTCACATTCGTAACCAAAACACATTTACATACCAGATATATATACATACTAGTTAGGGATTCAATCCCTATGCCATAACTGTACAGTAGGAGTCTATATCATCTATTACAAAACAGAAACAGAAGGGTTAATTCGAACACCCCAAAACAGCCGTAGCTTGAACGGACTTGGAACCTCGAGACGAGGCACAAAGGTTGGTTTGACAAAATAAGAGCTAACCCGACACCCCTAGCTCTGGTCTGGTGCCTGGACACCTACATATATATATATATATATATAAACAGTAAGCTAAAACCCAGTGAATAACAGTTATGTAAAGAGGTTAATAATGAATATCCTTTCAACAATTAAACAGTCATATCAGTCACTTAGAAACCATAGCAGTTATATGTGGTGCATCCCATAGCAAAACAGAACAGTAGGTCTTAACATACCGAACAGTCAGTTGATGGTCATCATAACAGTAAACAGTAGTAGTTCCCAACATGGGAACCGACAGAGATCTCTGTGACAGTAGTAGTAACAGTACAGTAACAGTAAATTGCTATGGATGCCACGAATACAGTTTACAAATAGGACAAACATTCATTCATTAAACAATAACGTTTCAGTAAGCAAAACAGTTGATCATTCAGAAAATAATCATAATCGAATATATCTTTACAACATTGTTACTCACAGAGCACTGGGCTATAAGTAGCTAGTGGGCGTCCTCGGGTGCTAACCCTACACAGTTACAGAAAGAACACACACTAAGTTACACACTCGAGAATCAACAACTTAGTCCCTATCTTGACTCGGTGTGATTTTACATCAATAACCTCATTAAGATGCCTTAAACATGGCCTAGGAATGCCTAGGATGGAAAGAGGATGCAAGGATGCACTTTAAAACACTTTTCAAAATTTGCTGAAACAGGGGTCCACGCTTGAGCGTGGCTTTTTACGCTCGAGCGGACATGCAGACAAAGGAGCCTCGCTCGAGCGTAACTTCTCTCGCTCGAGCGGACTGTAAATTCAAGAAAAGTACTGGATGCATGCAATTTACGCTCGACGGACGCTCGACCTCCGCTCGAGTGTGAGACTTAGATCCTCGCTCGAGCGTGAATTCTCTCGCTCGAGCGGACTGCAAAACATATGAACTTCTGGGCATATGCATTTCACGCTCGAGCGTGACTTCCTATGCTCGAGCGGAAGTGCATGTACTCAGAGTGCACGCTCGAGCGTGAAGTCCTACGCTCGAGCATGGGTCCAAAATCTGGAATTTCCAGATTGAACCTCAAGCATGAAATTCAACTTTTAAAGCTTCAAATTCGATCCCTTTGGGCTAATTTTCT